TGAAAAGTGGGTTTATTAACTGTATCTATCCAAACATCCTTGCCAAGCAAGTGTATTGGTCAGGGTTCCTCAGGAAACAGCAGGAACGACACACAGTTCTGTAAGGTACTGGGGACCTCATTCTTTTTCTTCTTCTTGGAGGCCTTCAAAGATCTGAGACCCATCTCAAAAGTACCCCGTCAGAGTTTCTCAATCTATGGGTCTCAACCTCTGTGGGTTGTCATGCTCAAATATCAGATATCCCGCATATCAGATATTTACATAATTCATAACACTAGCAAAATTACAGTTATGAAGTGGCAGTGAAAGTAATTTTATGGTCAGGGGGTCACCACAACGTGAGGAAGTCGCAGCATTAGGAAGGTCGAGAACCACTGCTCTAGACACATTTGACTCAGTTCCTGGGGGCCGTCACTGCAGTGCGGGCTCACACACTGAGGATAATGTGGGTGTGTTTACCCAGACAAAGTCCCTGTCTCCTCCTTACCCTCTTCAGGTAGCTCCAGGCCAGTCTTCTTCAGGGGAAGCAGAGGCTGAGGTGCCCTGTGCGCAGACAGAGAGGCCTGGCTCGTGACCCTCCCTGCTCCCTGGGAGCTGGGCTGTTTCACTTTTGAACTTCAGGCTCCCTGGGTGTGAGCGGAGCACTCTGGACTGCTGGGAGCATGCGACACACCTGACAACAGATACTTCGTGCTCTCCTAGGGGTGGTCACTGCCCTTCAGGAATGGCTGAAGCTCACTGACTCGGGGACAGAAGGGGCCCCGTGTCCTGATGGAGGAGGTGGGCTTATGCAGTGAAGCAGTAGGAGGGGGTGGGTCCCACACCAAGTATGTGAGCCCGAGTTCGAGGGGGGGGGGCATCATCAGTCTTTTAACTTTGAGTTAAAGCAAATTTCTCTCTCTTTCCAAATATTTAAGCTCACCTTCTTGGCCACCCCCACCCCCAAACAATCTATTCCCTCCCTAAAATTCACCTATGACCTCCCTGACAGGAACCATTGACAGCAATCATTTCAATAGTTTCTTAAACTTTATTTAGACTATAAAATGGTGTTCGTGCTGATCTGTCTCTTGCCGCTATGTCAGAACGCCACACACTGGGTAAACTGACAATAGCAGAAGCTCGTTGTGCTCCCGGTTCTGAGGCTACGGGGGAAAGAGCACGGTGTCAGCACAGGAGAAGCCTGGTGCTGCACTTCGCCATGGCGGAAGGGAAGTGGTCAGCGATGGAGCCCTGCAGAGTCAGCACACACCCTCCCTCCCTGTCCTTCCCAGAGGCCCTGGGCAGGCTCAACCACGTTTCCTGTGTGAATGGCCCGATATCTGAGACTGCTTCCGTCACTGAAGGACAGATGAGCACTCAGCACACTAATAATCGGGCTACAGTTTCTCTACAAAGCCTACCACAGTCGAGTAAGAAGTGCGGGCAACTGTACACTTTGTACGCAGTACTCTGTGCTGTCTTTGGATAGATTCTTTCTTTGAAAAGACCAGAAGCTCTCTTCTTTATCTCCAGCTACCAGTTTCCTCCCCAGTTGTTATGAGGGGAGATGTCACTCACCAAGGTCTCGACTGGATTGCTGCAAAAGCCCTCCAGTGTTCCACACCGCACAACCCTAGGCCAGGCCGTCCCACGTGCGTGATGGAGCGAGCCAAGATGTCAAGTCACCAGGCTGGTGGATGTGACTCATCTTCTGGCCCCTGTGGGGGGAGAGCTGTGTTGGGTGCCCACTGTGCACCTGTCAGCAGCCAGCATCCTGTAGGCCAGGAAAACATCGGCTCTTCCAGGAAGGGCTTTGTCTGCAGCTGGAACGGAGGCCACTGAGTCATGGAAGAAACCCAGGTGGATCCAGGAGTTCTGTGTTTACAGCAGAAGAGTTCCCTGTCTCCACCCTGCCCAGTCACCAACACAAGCGGACAACTAGCCCTCAGTTTTGTTTGCCTTTAAGCATTTATGGCCTGTTATCCACGGGGAATTGACAACGGCAGGGTACACAAGGAATATGAAAGGAGGCATAAAGGACTAAGGGTGGTTAGGAGGCTCAGCAAACACTTTTGCTTGTTCTTGCCTTTGCAGGAGCTTGTCCATCTCGCTCGCTACCCACCATGCCTCACTCCCTCCTGGTCTCCATTACAAATCATGTTTATTTCCTCCTTTCCTCATGTAGCCCAGGCTAGCTTCAAGCTCACGACGTAGTTGAGGCTGACTTTTGAACCTCTGAGTTCCTGCCTCTACCTCCAGAGCGCTGGGATTAGAGGTGTGTGCCACAAGGGTGGTTTTCGGTAGCGCTGGGGATGGACACCAGGCTTTGAGCGTGCGAGGCAAAGCGCTCGGCCACTCCAGCTACATCCTCAACCCCATTTTATTATTGATTTAGCTACTCAGCTACTCCTCCTTTTGACCCACGACATAGAACTGGCTTGCTAAAACACACAGAATGAAAGGCAGAGTGCGTGTCTAGGAGAAGCAGGAGAACCGGCAGACCCGAGGCCAGCTGGTGGAGCTGCCACAGCATGTCCAGTTGCCACCCGTGGGTTACAAGTTTCCATTCAAGAGGAAAGAGAAAAACAATCAAGGAGAAGGTCCGGGTCGGGAAAGACCCGCCTTTCTAACACACAGACTGAGGGAGGTGGAAGATCCCCAGCCAGACCCTCAGGGGCTGAAGGTCACCTTCTGAGTTCACTCTAATCCTGTTTGAGTCTATCAAGAAGGGCGTTTTAGGAGGGATTAATAACTTAAGACTGAACTAGAAACCGGACTAGACCACAGGGTTGGTCAGTTGTAGAAGTGGAACACAATGTAACTTGAGCTCAGGTCTGAGTGCTCCGCCAAAGAGCTCACCTGTGGGGCAGCAGGAGCCCCGGATGCTTCTGCAGCAGACACAAGCAGTGTCTGTGCTAGCGAGTTTTATATCAACTTGACACAAGCTAGAGTTTTCTGAAAGGAGGACCCTCAACTGCGGAAATAAAACCTCTGAAGATCAGGCTGTGGGCAAGCACGTGGGGCATTTTCTTCATTAGGGATTATCTGGGAGGGCCCAGGAGCAAGCCAGCAAGCAGCACTGCTCTGTGCCGGGGCATCAGCGCTTGTCTCCAGGCGATGGAAGTGTAGGCTGACAGGCACGCTTCCCACCCCCAGTGGCTTACTTCAGCCTACTTCATCACAGCACCATGAACCCTAAGACAGCGTCTCCTCCCCTCCTTCCTCAGTGAGGCACAGCCCCGCTGAAGCTCAGGGACAGCAGTTCCTCTCGCCCCAACAGCTCGCCTGTGCTCAGTGCTTTGACGATAGAACTTCCTCCCGTGTGTTTGCAGGATGCACACTGGCAAGTGGGGCCTGGGGTTTTGCAGAATGGAATATTACAAGGGCTTTTTGCAGTAGGCCAGCCCAGCCTCGGTGACTGTTATCAGTCGTGACAACAAATGGGAGGAAACTGCTAGCCAGAGATAAAGATGAGTTTGTGGCCTTTCTAAAGAAAAGGCCCCTTCAGGGACAATGCCAGACATTGAATATGATGTTCTGCATGCATCCGTTTGACTGCTTCTGCCATACTCCTCGCTCAGCTCTCTGGGAAGTTCTGTAGACAGAACAGATGGATCTGTGCTGACAGATTCCAGACCTCATGTGCAGCTACTGTCAGGAGTATGATTGACAGGTGTTTCCTCAAGCCACAGAAGCCATCCCAATGCACCCCAAACCCTGTCTCCTACGATTTACTATACCCCAAAAGCTGCCAGTACCCCCGCTCCCACAAAAAGCTTATGCACTGAAGGCTTGGTCCCCGGATTGCGGCTCACTTGAGAGGTGACCGGATCGTGAATGTTCTAACTTTCTCAGGTCTTTGACACAGCAACAGAAAGCTGACCCACACAGTTCTTTGACTCCAAGACAGCAAAGGTGACCTCGATTCGGACCACTGACAGGACAATGTCACTGCCTTGTGGTTCTTTCTCCCTAACCTCCTCTTTGTTTGAGAAGCGTCAGAAAGTGGGTACTTTCTCTATTCAACTGTTGGTAATAAAAATACCACATCCTTGTGAAGTTTATTATGGAGAAATTAGAATACACACAGAGTAGAACGGTGTAATGATCTTCCGTGTACTTAGCACACAATAGTTGACTCACGGCCAATCTTGTCTCTACACTACTTCCATCTATTTCCTCTCTCCCACGTCATCCTAAAGCAAATCACAGATACCACACTGCTCTATCCATTAATGCGTTAGCCTCCGTCTCTAAAATACGAACCCGTTCCTTTAACACTGTGACACCAGCATCCCAATGAAAAGTGATCCTAAGTATCCCCACATCTTCTCGGGAGTATTCTAGGCTTTTCGTTTGAGCCAGGATCCAAATAAGGCCCACACATCCTCTCAGATGAGGACGTTACTGGAAATAACATTGTTTCATGCAAGAAGACATCTGTGACCTCTCCATAGGCACCTGTGCTCTTAGATGACAGGAGGCCTCCTCCTAAGAGGCGCCGGCTCAGAACAGTGCTACCTGCTGGGAAATAATGTGGCCTCTGTTAGGTCTCATCCGCTACAGATCACACTTGAAGGCTGGGTGACACACACTTCCCCTCGGGAGACAGGGTGCAGTTACCCGAATGTGGGTTTTAGGAGACTGTTGTGCTGTGCCACAGTGGTAGAGTCCCTCTGGAGGACGTGGGTCACTAGAAGCAGACCTTGAGGGGTTCCAGTCCAGCCTCCTTTGTCTGTTCTCTGCTTCATGGCCATGGCTGCGGTGCGGCCAGCTGCCTCATGCCTGCCCCACAGCCGTGGACACGCATCCTCCATGCCAGACATGTGGTCACTGCAGGAAAAGTAACGGCCGTGGCATGGTTCTCCTCTCCCCGCTCTAGCAGAGTCTCTGACATCTGGCCACTCTAAGGTGTACCTCATGGCTCCTCTTCTACAGTGGAGACATGCAGCATGTATTAGCAGGACTCACGTCAGAGCAGTGTGGATACCAGTGTGGTCTTGAGAAGAAAACACAAATTTAAAAAAATATTTCTATTATTTTTATAATTACGAGAGTTTGTCTGCATACATGTGCATATGTATGCACACACTCAGTGTCCTTGGAGGTCAGAAGAGGGGTTGGATGCCCTGGACCTGGAGTTAGAGATAGTTGGGAGTCACCATGTGAGCGCTAAGAACCAAACGTGGGTCCCCTACAAAAGCAACAGGTGATCTTAATTGCTGGGCCTCCAAAATCTGTCTCTTCGACTCTTTTCCTTTTAAGGCTGGATTTATCCTTTGGGCTCTAGCAGAGACAAATCACTAGCAGGCATGCCACGATGGATAAAGTCTTCTAAAGTTTCAAACTCCTGCCAGTACAGCAGCAAACAGAGGTTTCTGGTCCGGGGAAGGGCTGGCATGCTGGACAAGGTCGATCCAGACCTGTGTTTTCATTGCACATTCATTGAAAATGTTTGACAAGGGTTTACAATTCGCAAACCAAATCTGGGACTTGCCTGAGTTAATTTAAATGCATAATTTTACTATATTTTCTTATCAAACAATTTTTACTTGCAACAACTGAAGTATGACTTAAAAGAGGTACATCACTTGGAGGGAAAAAGTCAGAAAGACCCTCATGGTAAAGCCAGACAATCTTTGCACGACACAGAACTGACACTCTTGGATTGACAGCAGAACGCATCTGTTTCCCTGAAACAAAACCACAAGGGCAGAGTCTGTTTTCAAGGTCATTTCCACTTCATCTCCACTTCCCAGGCTCAGGGAACGATGCTCGTGGCCTTCCTCAGGGCCAGGTAGCCTGTGACGACATCAGACGGCAGCCTGCGAATGTAGGAAAACTCTTCAATGGTGCTGAACCGCAGCTTGCTCTGAGGGTCTGTGTAGTTGGCCTGGGAGAGAAACGGGCAAGGGAAGGACAGAAAGTTGTTAGTGGAGATATTTTAAGCACAACTTTAATCTTTTATTACTTTAGTCAAAGTAAAATACATCTTTGTTATGTTTCACTGTCACCAAGAACAATAATTGTGCCAGGCAGTGGTGGTGCACGTCTTTAAACCCTGGCAGGAAGATCTATGAGTTCAAGGCCAGCCTGGTCTACAAAGTGTGAGTTCTAGGACAGGCTCCAAAGCTACAGAGAAAACCTGTCTCAAAAAACTGAAGAAAACAAAACAAAACAAAAACAAAACCACTAAATTGCTCACTTTGGCAGACTCATTCATCTTTCCAGACTTGAAGAGCACTCCAGGGACAGTCTGGAGGAAGAGGAATGGCCCCACCAGATCCTGGGACACTTCTTATTGGTATCTCAAGGACTGCAAACTACAGATCCAAGACTCGTTTCATGATGGTCACATATCCTGGCCTTCTAACTCCCACCTCTGCAGAGACTCAGAACTCATCAAAGTGCTGAGAATAAGGGACTGTTGAGTGCTCGGCCGGCCCTAAGCAAACATCTCTCCCTTCTGAGGCTCAAGGACAGGAACAGAGAGACAGGGAAGGGCCAGAGGATGGGAGGAATGCTGTCCAATGCTGTCTCCCGTGACACAGGGAAAGGCCCAATTTGAGAAGCAGTAACAAAGCTGTTTCAGAGCTCGTGGCTGTGCAGTAGTTGGGTGAGCTCTCTGGCAGGGCAAGCCATCCTCATGTTCTCAGAGGGTGCAGGACATGAACTTGGAATAGATAACCTGACTCCACACATAAAGCTATGGTCAGCCTCACTGGGGCTTCATGTGTGGCAGCCTCACTCCTACCACTACACCATGCTGAGTTGGCCACCTGAGTTCACACCTCATGCCAAGAAAGCTGCCACATAAACAATTAAGAACACAGAGACCTTGTGGCACAGACAAAATGGTCACAGACAAAAGCTGGAACAGCCTGGAGCCAGGAGTCAACACACAGTGTTCTGAATAGAAAGGAGTAAGCCAAACTATATCCCTGAACCAGACGAGTAAAGAATATCCCACCCTCCTCTAGATTCTGTCCCTTGAGACTGGAAGAAAAAGCAGGCTCCCTGCCCATGGGACTCAGCAAACTGCTTCTGCCTTGCCCTGGCTTTAGGATGACAGGCAGTGTTCACAACCCCCAGCCGCCTCTAGAGTCACAGCATTCATCATAGCTTTGTAAAACGCAGGTGTAACACACACCCATGCCTTCCTCCTGTGCTCAGGCAAGCTGAATTACTGCCATCTAAAGAATAAAACTAAAGCTTTTCACGGAGAGAAAGAAGCCTTCACCAGCATCTTCTACCTCAGAGACTTTGGCTTCCCCCGAGAAAGCCACTGCTGGTGGGGATCCTTCCAGGCTTTCAAAATTTATGTCTTACTAGATAAACCAAGCAGAGAAATCACCCAGTGTGTGTGTGTGTGTGTCTTTACCATACAGTCCACACTGCTGGCATCTTCTAGTCAAGAATGGACCCTGGAACTGTTCCACATCGACCCAGCTCACAGAAAACAGCCGCACATCTCAACAAAAGACCAGCATGGGACCCCCAACACTTTGCTAATAGTCGTTCAGAAACATTTCTGCCTAAGTTTCTTGGGCATCCCATTTCTCTGGGGAGCTGCATGGAAGGCAAACTGCCAAGTCATAGGTTTCTTTCTTTCTTTGTTTTCTTTAAGAAAATGTGCCAAGTTGTCATTCAAGGGAGCTGCATCAATGCTCTTCCTACTCCCAAAGAGCAGTGTACAAACACACAATCTCTTCATCCAGGCTGAAATATACAATCAAACATTCTCAGTCCCTCCATCTGATAGTGTTTTCCTAGCTACCAGTGAGGTGAACTCCTGATCACCCATATTTCCTCTGCCACTGCCTAGCCTAGGTCTTCCCCACTTCTTTTAAAGAATTGTCAGTGGTTTGGAAGTAGAGTTCTTCATACGTTCTTAACACCTTAATTCTTATAGTCAGAGCTTAGGTAACATATATATAGCAAGACCTCTGCTGATGCCACAAAGGCCTGGAATAATGGTCTTCAAAATGGCACTTATGCCTCTTCACAGGTGAGAACCACTGTACCAGCTGATGGTTGCTTGCCAGGGTCGAGGAAAAAGTGGATATACCAAGGAGCCAGCCTCTAAGTCTGTTCATAAAACCATGACTTCCAGCTGCTCAAAATGACACAGGGCAAGATCCCCATTTCAGGACAGAACAGTAATGGGGGCCACACCAGGTTTCCCGCCTCGGACAACCACTGAAATGAGCACAGCACACATGTAACAGAAAAGGGGGTTCAGAGACCAATGGCCGAGGAAACAGAAATCGTTGGAGACTCAGGAAGTAGTTCTAGTGAAAAGCTGTGGGATCAGATTGCTAGATGGACATACACAACCCAGTGAAGAAGGCTGGGAATAGAATAAACAAAGAAAAAATTCTTTAAAAATTTTGTTTCTCTAAAAGATAACCAAAGCAAGAACTAATAATCTATTGTGTGCTATCTTAAGCAGCAAGTATGACAACAGAGAACAAGAATGCGCTGGAAAGGGATTAGTCCACGAGCCTCACACTCCAGAAAAAGCAGTGTAGTGCTGAAAACAAACTCAGTGTGGCAAGATGAGCATTAGATCTAGGAGGGCAACCACTCCGCTTCTTTCAAAGGGGGCATAAATAAGAATTAAAATGCCCAGTTGGCCTCACTCCCTCATGAGGAAAGCGCGTGGCACAGTTCCATAGCAGAGCACTCTGTAAAGAACCTGACCCGCAACCGGCTGTGGTGGCACAGCTGGGGCAGGGGATCATGTGAGCTCAGGAGCTCACGACAAGCTAGAGAAGTCCAGCAGACTACCCATCTCAAAACACACACACACACACACACAAACCTCTGACAAAGCTGCCGAAAACAAGGAAAATTTGAGAAAGTGCCACAGTTAAGAGTGGTCTAAAGAGTTATGACAATTAAAGTCGATATGGTATCCTTGACAAGATAGGACACTGGGCTTGGGCAGAATCTAAAAACATTTGCCTTTCTTTCTTCATCTCCCACCTCTTCCCGGCCTGCCTTTCGCTCATGCTCCTTCTCAGCTGGTGGTACTGAGGATCAAACCATCCTTTGCACATGAGGCAAAGCTAATCACTAGGCTACACCTGGCCCCAAACTAAGAAAATTAATAAACTGTGGTAACAATGCCATCTCTAGTGGTTCACTAATCGTAACAAACCCACCGCAGTTGTTAATAACAGAATGAGCTGAATTGGGAGCGTGAGAACTCCCCCTGGACAAGCCTCTCAGTCTTACTGTAAACTAAACTGCTCCAAAGTGTTTAAAAGTGCCCAATTAGACCAACACATGACCAAAACAAGGAATAAAGGCCTGCAGGTGGATCAAAGAAAACAGGTGGATTAAATTCACCCATATTGTGGAATATTTGTTTAACTATGAAAAAATGTGTTGCATTTAATTATGTAAAGATGTGTTGCCGTTTTACCTTGCCTGCCTAAGGTACCTGATTAGTCTCATAAAAAGTTGAATAGTCAGTATCAAGGGACGAGGGATAGGCAAGACTTCTGGGCAGAGAGACTAAGTAAGAGGAGGAATTTAGGCTCAGAAAGAAAGGAAGAAAGAAAAGGATACAACAGGGGCCAAGGAGACAGACATGGAGGAAGCAGGAAAGGAGGACATACAGAGTGAAGAAAGTAAAAAGCCCTGAGGTAAAACGTAGATGAAGAGAAATAGGTCAGATTAAGTGAAAAGAGCTAGTGGGGCAAGCCTAAGCTAAGGCCAACCATTCATAATTAATAATAATTCCCCATGTCTTTATTTGGGAGATGGTTGACGATGCAAAGAAAATTCCAACTACATACAGCGCCCAATGTGAGGCCCAAATTTACACATAGGGTCTGAGGAAGCTGACAAAAATATAGCTCCGTTAAGAGGCGCTGTTGTGCAACAGAGCACTTGAACAACCAGTACGCTAAGTAGAAACAGCACGTTAAGTAAAAATGCCTGCCCTGGTGCGCACCTAATTCCTAGAGCTGGGGCAGTTAAATGCAGCTCTTGGCTTAAGGCTCGGCTCTCATGGACCTGAGGATGGGTGTAGCCAGCCACTAGAGCTGCACAGTAGAGGACCTGGCTGCCACTTAGCAGTTTAAGGTTTTGCTCACTTGGTCAGAGAACACTGTGAGTGAACAGTAAAACAGGTCCAGACTGGAAAAACTTTAAACAGGTTTCAGTGTAAGTAGGTGCTTAAGAAAGAAAAAAAAAATGGGTAAAGACAGTCACAGGAAAAAATAGCTTAAAATAATTAAGTAAAATTTTTAAAGAAGGAGTAAAGTAATATAAAAAGAATAAGCCATGTAAGGATGGGATATACAGAGGGAATCTGGATCCTGAATGGTGCTTTGTTGACTTTGAAGTTTTTAAATGCTGATGAGTGAACGGTAGCTGCTGAGAGACATGGGATTATAAAAGGAACTGCTGAATTAAACCAGCCTAGACACTTTAGAGATATCTTAACTTTAAAGTGGAATTCAGAAAGTGTATTGTGTTGGGGGAAAGGTTATGCTTTTGTTTCCACAGGAAAAGAAAGACTGTGGATTAATTCAACATTAATAGAGACAAGATTTGATTGGGGAAGACTCCCTGAAAATCTTGGCTACAGACATAAAGAATTAAACCTAGAAAAACTACCAGACAGGTGACATATGCTGATCCCTTGACATGGGAACAGCCCTGAGACCGGATGAGACATGATAAATCTTGTTGGTTACAGAGTCCTTAGAGTTATTATTACATGCCATTCTTTCCTATGACATGAATAGAGGTTTGGTTCTACAGTCCAAACAAACATAAAGCTGACAGATATCTTTTACCTGATCAAACATAAAACAAACAAAAATCTTTGGCTGGCTTTTGTACAATGTACAGTCCATACTTGTGTTAATACAGATATGTAGGTTATCTTTGAAAATGTGTGTTTTCAGAGCAAGGGGACCAGATACCAATGAAAACAGGCTTTCAGATAAAGTTCTGTTGCAGTTTCCTCAGAGTTCTGTGTTCAGAACAACTTCAAGGCTGCTAGCTGAGATGGTCCAGTCTCACAGACTATTCTAGCCAGGACATCAGATAAGCCTTGCACTTTCCCATGACAGAAACTGAACAACAAATATTATATCTAGTTTTCTTAGGACCTGACCATTATCTCAATTTACTTAGGGTTCCCTGGGGATGCCATTGCCCCCCAGACAACAGGAAGCAGTCTAGAGAATATAATGCCCACATTCTCAAGAGACGGGGTGGGTGGTTTTTGGTTATTTGGTGGGTCATGTTTGTCATCATCTTGTAGAGATATAGGAATATAGGGTATAAAGACAATTATTCATCTCAAATATTTTACCTTACTATGGATTTTTGTATACTGATACAAATTTAAGGTTATTTTTGCTATACCATATATGTGTTTCTACTGTTCTTTAAGGTATTGTTCCTATGAAGTTCATTTTAAAATATAATATAAAGTTCTAGTCCTTGAAAGTTATTATTACAAACTATTTAGGATAATTAAAAATGCAGGTTAGTAGTTAGTCACCTATAACAATCACACTTGCAGTCATGTTAGGTAAGTTTTCAAGGTTAAACATATATTTTAGATAGATAGGTGATCTTCAAATGCTTCCGATACCTAACAGAATATGACATTTAAGATGTTTAATTATCTAAGGTTTTTCATGACAATGAGACATGTCTGCTCCTGGCAGAACCAATGTGCTTCATAAAAGGATGATGGGTGCGGAAGAACCTCCATATGGAGTTTTCTTTCCCTGTGGCACAGTTAGCCATTTGGGCAAGACACTGCCCTTGCCTTGACTGTTGACAGTATACTGTAAAACTAGATAAGCCGGACAGAAAGGAAAAAGACTGCCAAACTTTGTCAACACAACGTGGAATATTCTTTCAAAATTCCTGCTTCACAGAAAAGTCTGTCAGCTATTCTAGGCCTATAGGCTAAAGATGGATGCCCCAATGTTGCAGAGGAAACTTGGGTGGCTATCCAGGCAGCCAGCTGTTTCTGTCACTTCTATAGTTTTGGAAGTTGTTTATTTTTCACTTCCTGTTTACTCAGGTAATATTATATCCTTCCTGTGTCTCTGATGGAGTTGAAAATGAGATAGTTATAGTTTTCCTTGTTACCAAAGTTAACAAAGAAGCTTACATAAGAAATGTAAAATTTATAAGGCTAAGAAATATAAAAGCTTAAACTGTTTATCTAAGAAACTATTTTGAGGTCTAGAAAGTAAATTAGGCATACAACTTTGGACTCACCAAGATAGGACAAATAATGGAGCATTTTCTCTGAATTTGCCAAATCCAAATGGACTGGATATTGTAAATGTAATTCTTACTTGATAATTGTTCTTATTATATATAATCTTATTATGTTGAAGCTAAAACCTCTCTTTAGTCAAAAATGCAGAAATGTTGTAGAATATCTGTTTAACTATGTAAAGATGTGTTGCATTTGTTTACTTACATAAAGATGTGTTGCTGTTTTACCTTGACTGCCTAAGGCACCTGAGTGGTCTAATAAAAAGCTGAATAGCAAATAGCAAGAGAGGAGGTATATGTGGGACTCTTGGACAGGGAAAGTAAGTAGAAGTAGGAATTTAAGCTCAGGAAGAAAAGAAGAAAGAAAAGGAAATGACAGGAAGATGACGGGACCAGACAGACATGGAAGACCAGGAAAGTAGGATAGACAGAATGAATAAAAAGGTAAAAAAGCCCCACAGTAAAACATAAGATGAATAGAAACAGGTTAAATTAAGTTAAAAGAGCTAGTGAGACAAACCTGAGCTAAGGCTGAGCAGTCATAATTAATGATTTTCCGTGTCTTTATTTGAGAGCTGGTTGGCTGCCCAAAGAAAATTCCAACTACACACCCACAGTAATGCTCACTGAAATGTGAACCACATAAATCTATCTGGTGTCACACTGCCAGGTGGGTACAAAGCAAGACCCACTCTATAAGAAACTCCCTCTAAATACAAAGATACAGACAAAGGCAAAACACTCACGAGAGATAAGCCATGCGAACTTGCACAAAAAGAAAGCTGAAACAGTGTTCTAGTTCATTCTGTACTGCTCTCTTTAAAAAGAAAGTGAATGCTTTATGAAAACGTGGCTTACAGTGCTGGAGAGAGAGCTCAGAGGTTAGGAGCACCTGGCTGCATTTCAACATGGTGCAAAGAGAACAGGCCAAGCAAAGGAAAGGCATGTGTGCAAGCAAAGAAAGAGAAAGGAAGAGGCTCTTTCCATGACAGCACTCTCTTGCAGAAACCAGTCCATCCTATGGGAGCTGACCTGAAGCGATCCATTTCTAAGAAGCATCATTATTTCATCAGTCCCACCTCTCAACAACTCAACACCACAATGGGAGCCAAGTTCACAGCAAATGAGGTTTCAGGAGAACAAACACCCTAACCCAAGCACGCAGCTCTATGAATTCAGACAGAAGCCAACCTCAGAAAGAGTTGAGAGAGGAGATTATGCAATGATGGAAGAAGCACACTTCCTGGTATAATGTATAGAATTAATCTGGCCAGTTTGTGACAGATGGTGCAGCTATCCTCGTTAAACGGCAAAGCATTGAAATGATATACAGGTAAATTTTAGAAGTAGCACCCTTCATCATTTCTATAATTTGCAGAAAAATCTCACTTTTCAAATTTCCAAGAGATGAAGAAGGATGAAGGTGAACTGAAATCTCCTTATAGGTTCTGCACCCACTCTTTGTTGGGCAAGAGTGGAAGCGGGAGCTCAGTGCACCCCACCCTCATCAACAACGCATGCCTCAGTGCAGCTCTGATGCAGCAGCATGGGAGGCGTCAAGGTGGTGGGCAAGGAAGGAGGACAGAGGACCAGATCCAGAGGACCACACGGAGAGGGGGGCTCGGCTCTTTTAGATATGTGGGTTACATATACCACTTCACTGGAAAAAAGGCTGAGAAACTGTGTTTGCCTGCTCTGACTTAAAGAGGCATTCCTCGGTGTTAGGCACGCTAGGCAGGTGCTCTACCACTGAGCTACATCGCCAGTCCAGGAGATTTTCTTTAAAGTACCACTAATTGTGTAAAATCAGTATTTTAAAACTTTAAGAGTAAAAGCAGAAATGGCTGTTCATTCATGCTGTCTCGCACAGTTAACTATCAAGGAAAAAAGAAGTAAGAATTCTGTGTCTTGCTTTCTGGAGCAATGGTCTCTCCCGACTACCCAGAGACTCAGGTCACAGCTTGCTCCAGGCAGGACCATTGGTTTAGACAGACTTGACTGTGAAATCTTACATTTAATGCTAATATAGTCAGATGTAATTATACTCACAAGAAGGCCTGAAACATCGGAATACTTCTTAGCTGGCTTAAAGGATGGAGGAGCATCAATACTAAAGTCTAAAAAGAAGAAAGAAAAGAAAAAAAGATGACCAAATAACCTTCAAACTATCCGGATTCCTTCTCCTTTATTCTAAGGTAACATGTGATAATAGTCCTGAGATTTCCTTTGTGATTACATACTTGCAGAAGCCTCCGGGGATTGACCAGGGAAACAAGGGAGGTCTCTCAAAAATAGCAGACTGTGTATGTCGCAGACTAAGTGCTGGCCTCAGCTAGGGTCCTGCCCTGCCCCCAGAGACAAGCTACCCCAGTGGAACTGCCAGGTTCATCTACCCACAGGCCATGTCACAGTCTCCAGTTCAAATGGGCTTCCAGTGATGAAAGGCCACACAGCCACTAACTGGACCCACACACCCAGACTCAAGCGGTCCACACCCAGATGACTAACTTGTCACCATCTGAGTCATCCCATGGAAGACGCTGAGCAGGACAGGAGGCGCTGAGATCTTGGAACCTGAAGTTTCCAGTGTAGTCGAACAGAAACATCTAACGGGTTTTGCCCAGGTCTGGACATACTAAGGCAGGAGGTATTTACTCAGAGAGTAAGTGTGTGGCCTATAAGCTGCTTGATGGAGACTCTCCCAAATCCCACATCACAGGTAGGCTATGCTGCTTGTGAAACAAATGAAAGGAGGAGATGTTTAAATGAGAGATCTACTAGAAACATCATCTTTATCACAGCGGGACCTGCTTCTCCAGATTGAAATTTCAAATAATGGCACTAAAAACTAAACAAACGGACTCAACACAGACACAGTGAGGGGGGGATGCATGCATAATATCCCTGGATGGTGCCACCCTACAGTTCTCAGGCTAAGAACATCACCCACGAAAACACAAACATGAGCAAATAACGTAGGCTTGTTGTAGGGAAGTTCCTGTCTGCGTTACCAACACATGGAAGGCTCTAGATGCTCACAGTTAGGATCATTCAGTTGCCATGGCAATGCCCTTTCAGCAGCGAGGATCTGTTTGAGGTTCTTCCAGGTTCTATTCTTCTTGCCAGCTACTGCGCCGCCGTGGCCAGAGTGCTCAAATGAAAAGTGGGTTAGAAGAGACGAGTCAGTTTAAGATGCGCCTGGCAAACCCGACACCATGCCCGTTAGAGCTGTCAGGCACCTCTCAGTCTGGAAGCAACTATTTGTGTCGCTGAGACTTTTAAAAATACCTCACCGTATACTTTTATCTTTGTTTGGAAGAACATAGTTTTTAGCTATTCATGGTGGAGGCAGGACTGGAAGTTCAAGGCCAGCCTCAGTGACAGGATGAGTTTGAGGCCAGCCTAGGCTATAGGAGACTTTTTCTCAAAATAAATAAATGAATGAATGAATGAATGAAAGAAAGAAAGAAAGAAAGAAAGACAGACAACAAATGGGAAAGAAAGAGAAAGCAAACCAACAAATGGCTATTTCTCAGCATGTACACAGGAAAGCAAATTCCTTCCTGGGTTCAGCCTAGTTGAATTCACTTATGATCTCATCCCTTTAAAATAAGTTTGCCACAAAGTTGGTTTTCGTCTTAAGATCACATCTCTAAACTCCCCTCTGAGGGTGTGTCACTTGGCCTCCTAATCACCAGTGGTCCTGAAAAACCCAAGCAGGCTTTAATCATGGTATGGCAAGCCTTCTGGAAATTTCTGTTTGTGCTATAAAGATTAAAAAATAAAATGGAAAAGAATACTAACGTATTTGCAGACTCTAGTTACAATAGATGCCAAGACTCATTAATAAAAAATAAACAAACGTTTAAAGGTATAATTTGGGTCACTAAAACTGATTATTTAATACAGCCCTCCTGAATGAAAGGGATCTGAAGGAGTTAGTGAGGACTGCTCCTATTTTAGTTATCTATTTCAAACTTCTTTTAAAACTGAAGGCCAGTAAAAGCGTAGGGGAACAATCATGGGAAAGATCACCCTCCGAGTTCTATCCTCTGGGGAATTCTGGAAAGGCCTTTCCAGCCCCATCCCATCCATCCATCAAATAAAACTGAGGGAGAAGGGGACTCCCGACCCAACTCAGGCCCAGCTACATCGGAGCTGAGGTGCAGCTGTTCACCCCTGTATTTGTATAGCATCTTATATGCTTACCACGAAGTTGGGATCCTTAAAAGGCAACGGTTTGGCAGCTTTTTCCACAGGCCCCGAACTAAACTCAGAGGATGCCATTTTATTCTCACTCACGGCTTCAATGCTGACACCCTTAAAACACAGAAAGGGAAAAAACATCTTTGAAGCCATTCCAGGTGGGTTCTTCACATCTGTTTTCAACAAGACAGACATGCAAGGGGCCCAGGGCTCCAGCAGGCGCCTGCCCTGGAGGCTGGGGAACACTGCAGACACAAGCAGGAGCCCGGGTGCCGAGCCCAGGGCCTGCTGTCCTGTACCAGCTGTCTCATAACTCTGACAACTGCTAAGGAAGTGTGGCTATCCTCATCTTACAGAAAACGGAGGCACAGGCGGGCTGGTTTAAGGCTACACGGCACAGCACACACCTTTCCAATTTAAATCCATTCTATGACACCACAGAGTCTTTACATCTCGATGATCTTGTCAACTGTGTCTCGAAATAGGAAAGCTAGCCTTAGAATCTGGACCTCAAGGGTCTATTTTGGTCAGAAAATCCAGGCTGGAGCTAGTCTGCATTTGGGGACAACAGGACACGGGAATTCTGAAAAAGAGGAAGCTGGAGGGACGTGGGCCAGCTGGCTGTTGCTGGAACACAGTGTCCTGCAAAGCAGTTTTAAAACAAGCCTTTACGCTAACAACACAAGAGAAAAGAGGCAGAGGTAAGAAACGCTGCCTGGCTTCTAAACCAATTTCCAAACAAACATCTTAGGAACAGAGGCATTGTCTTCACAAAGCGAGCTGCCTACGAGTCAGGTAGAGGTTTCACGAGTTTCCAGTTCTGACACTGGTACAACCAAACCCTTCCGAGGCACCGAACACCACCGCCATTCCAGAACACTCTCTTGCCCCTTCCTGGCCAATCCCTCCCAGACCCAAGGGCAACCAACATGCTGATTCTGCTACATCACTTCTACTTCCAGAACTTCTTCCAAAAGAAACCCGACAGTATGTGTCTTACACCTGGAGTTCTGACGCCTTCATAGGGCTCAGTGGTTTGCGTCATCAATTTCTTTCTCAGCAGAGAAGAAATCACTATGTGGACGTGGTAAAACCTATCTATCCATTTTTCTGTTGAACATTTGGTCTACTTTCAATGTTCAATCATAAACAAAGCTGCCATACACAAGCCCCTACCTCTCTACCAGGAGTTACTTTTCGTCATGGTGTTTATCAGAAACAAAAATCAAACTAGTCCAGGCATGGTGACACACACTTTCAATCTCAGCACTCAGGAGGCAGAAGCAGGCAGATCTCTGGGGGTTTGAGACCAGCCTGGTCTACATAACAAGTCTGTTATGTAAGCTACATAGTGAGAGCCTGTCTCAAGCAAAACCTTCCACAGGAAAAAGAAACCAAACTACAACAGCTGTCGTGCTTTCATTTCCGTTGAACATTTACCTAGGAGTGAAGACTGTGTTCCTGAGAAAGTACACGTGTGTGTGTGTGTGTGTGTGTGTGTGTGTGTGTGTGTGTGTGTGCCCTCTCTGTAGGATCTGTGACATGACTAGAAACGAGAAGAGAGGATCATTCACTGTCACAACCATTCTCAGAACGCTCTCTCCTTAACCACCTTCTCAGACTCCTCTCAGGGTCTCTGCATGGTCTCTGCCTGGACTCCTCTCCTCTGCCCACATCACTCCTCAGTGTCATTCTCCCATCACCCTCCATTACTCCAGTCTTCCCAGCATTATGCCAAACCTTAAGCCTTAAGAAACACACTGGAGCTGGGTGATGGTGGTGCACGCCTTCAATCCCAGTGCAAGAGGCAGAGAGGCAGGCAGATCTCTGTGAGTTCAAAGTCAGCCTGGCTTATACAGAGCTAGTTCCAGGGCAGGGCTATGTAGAGATCCTGTCTTGAGGGAAAAAAAAGGAAGGGGAGGAGGGAGGGAGGGAGAGGGGAGGGAGGGAAAGGGAGAGGGAGAGGGAGAGGGGGGGAGAGGGGGAGAGAGAGAGAGAGAGAGAGAGAGAGAGAGAGAGAAGGAGGGAGGGGACTCACACTGAAATCTCCTTGCATGTATTTTTGGAGCATTAGCCCTTCTACCACTGAGCCACCTGCCTGGCCCTGAAATCTGTTTGAAGAGGCTGTGATCCAGGGCAAAAGGGGAAAAGACAAGCTGCTAATTAGAGGATCTCAGGAGACCTCCAGTCAGGAGGAAAGAGGTCATCTAGGCCAAACAAGGTGAACTGCTAAGGAAGCAAAGGGATGCTAAGGGGAAAGAAACCTGTCCTTAACATCTCTCACAACAACTGTGACAAGAGTACTATGGACACAGCACAGCCAACTCCAGCACCCTAGCCTCCAGGGGCCCCTGGGAAAAGCACTCATGGCAGCAAGTCAGTGTAGATTAGACAGATAGTTGTAAAGTTCTGCCAGGGAGAGGTCACCCCACAAAACGAAGTGCTTCTGCTGACTGTAATGGGGTGTGGGTGACCAGAGCTCGCTGTTCCAGGCAGCAGTCTAGGGAATGCCGGTCTGGGAATTGGCTCAGCGGTAGAGTACTTGCTGTGGAGTATGGAAGGCTACAGCTTCTCCAACAGTGTAGGGCTCTAAGCTACCTCTACCCAGATAAACCCCAGGGAGCTTTCTGGTTTCTGTTTGTCTTTCCTCTTAAACCCACTCCCATGTGACTCCACCCTTATTTCCCCATTCTCCCATTCACAACCTCCGAGTCAGTACTGAGTCAGGATGACCGGAAGGCCTTTAGTCAGAGGGAAAATCAAGTCTACAATGCTCTGCCCCAGTTAAAATAAGACACACGATGATCTACGGTTTCCATGTCGTGAAAGTACCATTAACACCAAGAGACTTTAAGAGATGGAATATCCAGCCCTGAGACATGAAAGGCCAAGACAGATGGGAAAGTAATGCCCAGAACTAAGGATTATGCTCTCTTCCCGTTACTAAAGATGACGGTGTAGGTCCCAGGGGCGCGTCTGCTGAACAATGGCTCCTGCCAACAGCAGCCCTCATGACTGGGTCTGGGACTTCAGGACAACCTTGTCTTCCTCCTGGGGTGTTTTGTCATCATTTAAGAATCAAACATAGCAGCCTAGGGGTGGTGGTTCACGACTTTAATCCCAGCACTCAGGAGATGGAGGCAGAGGCAGGAGGATCTCTGAGATGGAGGCCAACCTAGTCTATAGAGCAAGTTCCAGGACAACCAGGGCTACAGAGAAACCCTGTCTTGAAAAACAAAACAAAAAAATCAAATACAACAGATTTGATTGATTTGACAGTAATTTGGAATAAGAAGTCCAGTCTTGGGTACAGTCAGCTTGGGCTATACAGCAAGATTCTGTCTCAAAAGACTGGAAAAAAGAAAAACATTAACTCAGACCAGGAATGGTATAGCAGATATCCATAAGAAGGCTGAGGCAGGAAAACTGCTACAAGACCAGTTATTTCAGGCCACCAATGTGTACATGGCAAGATGATCCTGTCTCAAACCAAACCAAACCAAAGGTGGCCCACAAAGAGCAGGGCATGGTAAAACTGGTCTTTAATTCCAGAACTGGAAGAGGCAGGTGGATCTATGTAAATTCAAGGCTAGCCTGGTCTATATATCACAAGGGTCTATATTGTTGAGAGTCTGAATCAAAAAACAAAACGCAAAAAAAAAAAAAATCAAGAACAGAAATTCATCTTAATGTAGTGACTGTATTGCTTGGTCTCAGCATAAGTGAACATTAAATCACATTATGGATAACTACAAGAGAATACACATTATACAGCTCATGAAGACTCAAATCAAGAGTACAGAACAGAGCGGGGCATGATAATGCATGCCTGTAATCTCAACATTCAGGAGCCTGAAACAGAGGATTAGCAATTTAAGTCTGTATCCCAACCTGCAATACATACTGAGTTCTATGGGAGCCTGAGAAACATAATGAGATCCTGTTTCAAAACACGAAACAACCAAAGATATAAAAATAATAATAATAATACCCCAACAAAACAAACAAGCCCAGAGTGGAGCATTCAGACAAGTGGATCCCTGAGTTTGAGGCCAGCCTGGTCTACAGAGCAAGTTCCAGGCTAGCCAGGACTACAGAGACCCTGTTTTGGGGAGCAGAGGAAGAAGGGGTACATAAATAAAGCTAACCGAGGTAGAAGAGGGCAGAAAAGTGGTTACTTGTGGCAGGGAGGGAAGGGCATAGTGACAGAATTGCAAGGCTGAGGCAGGAGGACAAGATCAGCGTGAGTTTTCTGGGCCTCTCAGGAATGTTCTCATGTGGAGACTTTGTATGGTTTGTGTATTTCACTGCATGCAAACACCCCAGAAAATGCAAAAAAGGAGGTGGAAGTGGTGACAATGACAGAGTCGCTGAGCAAGCGCACCACACAAGTTGAGGAGCATAACCATCCTTATAGTGGGAAAAACACAAGCCCAGCCAAACCACTGCTGCTCTCCGCCAGCTGTTGTCTGCTGCGCCAACCCGCTGTGCTCCGCACTTTCGTCAGTGACCTCAATCTCTTTCGTTTCTTCCTTTTTGCTTTGTTTGTTTGTTTTCCGAGACAGGGTTTCTCCCTGGCTGCCCTGGAACTCTATAGACTATGTTGGCCTGGAACTCAGAGACCCGCCTGTCTGCGCCTCCGGGGTGTGGGTATTAAAGGTGTGTGCTATCACCGCCGGCTTGACCTCAACCTCTTAACCTTCAGATTTAACACAGGTAAAAAAGAACGAAGGAAGCCACAGGTATCAGTCATCTTTGTATTCCTCCATGTTGCACACTGGGGCGACCCCTCAGGCTCTCAGGGGTGTCTGCCTGAGACGCTACGGGTGTCCGCGAACTTCCCTTGCTGAGAGATAGAGAAAACAAGTCCTAACAGAACCGGGCGGCCCTTCTACTAAGCCGATTATAACCTCCCACCTTACGCTATGATGCGGCTGACTTCTAACCAAAGCCGTAGGTCCGGCCTATGACTCAAAAACACTAATTTCCACCAGGAATTCCGACTTTCTCCTGGGGAACCGAGCCACACCTCCCAACCAGCACCATCCCACTGGACTGCGCACGCGCCGCAGCTTCCGCTCCGCCCTGCGCATGCGTCCTCGACGCCTCTTGAGCCTGCGCATGCGCTGTCGTCCCCGGGCCGTGCGGACAACGTACCTGAGTAAAGCTGGAGGCGGAGAGCTTTTTCTTTTTACTGGTGCCATATCCCCCGCCGCTGCCGTTGTGGGAAGGGCTGGCTGGCCTCTTCTTGCTGTTCCTGGCTATGGTCGGGGTAGAAGTGGCAGCCACGATTGGAATTTGAGCCGCCATCCTGCCCGCAGTCCGCCTGCGGCTCCCCGCCCCCACCCCTCCTCAGGCGGGCCCAGGAACTTCCGGGTGAAGGTTACTTCCGTGTTGATGCTCCGAGACTGCTGGTCACCAGGAGCCTAATGGATTCCTCCCTATCTGCTCCTAGGAGGCGGGGCTTGGAAGTGTTCCTTCCGGGTCGGAAGGAGTCGAGCTGGTGGCTGCTGATGAGATTGTGAGCCTTGGTCTGGGCACCTTCTTGTAGGGCCTCAGTGATCATACGATCTTTTAATAACTATTAATTTTTTTTCTTGATTTTTAGATAGAGTCCTGCAGCTCTCTGTGTAGACCAGGCTTGCCACAAACTCATGTACCCAAGGTTAGCTTTGAATTCCAACCCATTCTCCACCTCCCAAATGCCAGGATTACAGTCAAGTGCCCCAATGCCCATCTCATTGGCTGTAAGAATAAAGGAAGTTAAATATCAGAGCACTAGCAGATTACGAGTTATTTCTTCGGTCCTATTTCTTATTCGTGCTGACGTTTTTGTATCAGTACTGCACAATAGACTAGAAAGGTAGAGTTCTTAAATCTTTTAGGATCCAAGACCACTTGTTGCCATTCCTGACCTCCACTCTCTTCAACAAGTGCGCATCAACAGACAAAATCTTACATACTCATGTCGGGGAGGTTGCAGATCTAAACAAATTCAGGAATCACAATTCCTCACGCCTTGTTCTTTGCCTCATCCGCGCTGTATTTCTCCAGAGCCTTTATGCCATGACCTACCTTAATGGTTTCTAACTAGGCAATGCATGTCTTTTGGTTAGGATATAATAATATTTCTGTAAGGTGACTGCCAATTGTGTCTTTAGACTAGGGATAAATATATCTGTCCCCAGTTACAGTGACTTGCGAGTAGTTGGTGCACTATAGTTATGTTTGGGTGACGTTCAGAATAAAGGAGTGTGTCCCTACAAGTCAGTAATACAAGTGGATGTTTGAAACAGGCTTTCGACTGAGGCAGAGAGGAAGGACCAGTTAAGGGAACAGGAACTGACAATACTATTACTGGCGCCTCTTCTGGTGTTGAAATGCTGCTTCCTGTGCCAGCTCTCCTTCCCATCCTCATGGAACTCTAGTCCCTGTCACAAGGACTTGTGCCTCTAGCCGGCAGTCACTCTAGCAAATCTTATTCCAGTCACCCCTTCAGCCCAATTCCTGTCTTCACTGTTCCTATCCCAGTGCCTCAACCAACCACGTGATCCCTGTGTCAGCCTCCAAATGGAAGTCTGAGCAGTCACTGTACCTAATCTATCCTTGGCTCCAAGGCCATTTCCACAGCCTGCTGGAACAGGCTTTTTAAATCTGACTGTAGCACTTAACATTCTTATATACAGGACCCCTTTATCCTCCAGAAAAAAAAACCAGACAACTTTTTGTTTGGTACATTAAGTCCTTAATAACTGAGGCTTAACCCTCTTCTTTTGTTCAATTCCCAACAACAAATTCTTTGTGCCCTTGCCAGGGACAAATTCTATTTCCTAGAATATTCTGGTCTCTGAACTCATACTTTGTTCCCATTGTTTTTTTCCTGAGGATGCCTAGCTCCTGGGCTGGTGACTATCCACTTTTTGCCTCAGTTCAAATTGTAATAAGCAGCCAATGTACCCAATTCACCTTGACCCCCCCCCCTCATCTGAATCTTGTGCATGTATCTCTGAGGACATTGAGCATGGAACAGCCTATTGACCTGCTTCTTGTAATGTTTACTGAGTCCCAGGAGGAAGGAGTAGACAAGTGGGTGTAACACCATTTGGTTTCCAAATACCAAATTCAATCTTCATTTCACTAATTGCTTTCTTGCTAAAATTCTCCCCTTAGTTTCTAAAATGTCACCTCCTTCTTATTTTCCTCCTAAACTCCAGTTGTCTTTTTGACAGCTGTCTTGTTTTACCAAATGCTTTGTGGTGCCACTATGGGATTTTCAAAATTATGTCACATGGTCAAATCCCTCTAGACACACATTTTTACTGTTTCCTGGGTGGTGTAGGAGGTCCTTCTGTATTTGTGTTGCTTTCATTGGTTATTAAAGAAATTGCCTTGGCCTAGTTGATAGGGCAGAACTAAGGTAGGCGGGGAAGACAGAACAGAATTCTGGAAGGAAGAAAACAGAGACAGGCAGACACCATGAACCTCTGGCCTGAGACAGACATAGGTTAGAATCTTGCTGGTAAACCACAGTCAGGTGGTGATACACAGATTTAATAGAAATGGGTTAATCAAGATGTGAGAATTAGCCAATAGGAGGCTAGAGCTAATGAGCCAGGCAGTAATTTAATTAATACAATTTCTGTTTGATGATTTGGGGGGCTAAGCTAGCTAGGCAGCGGGACAAGCAGCCCGACACCCAACCCACTACACCTGGGAGTCATGATGAGTAGCTGTGATTGAACCAGAATCTTCTTGCTCCATTTTTTAAATGGAGAATCCCTTGATGTCTAAGCCCCTCTGCCTTCCAAGTCTATACATTTCCCAGCCATTCCAATAAATCCGAAGGCCTGAGCTACCATCTCCCTTATGGGCTGTCTCCTTGCTTCCAATTTTGGTGCCTGTGGCTGAGTAGTTTCATTCAATTCCAGGTGACAGGCTCATGATTTTCAGGTCATGCTCCCTATTTGAAACCCTCCATTGTCTTCTTGCAATCCCTAGAATGAAGCTCACGGTCCACAGTCAGAAACCCGCCATCTCTGCAATCTCGCCTCCTCCTCGGGTCTCTGCACTCGCCCTCAGTTTCCATTTTTGTCGATCTCAATAACTGTGTTTCTTCCTCCCTTGGGGCCTCAATCCACATCCCTCCTCTGGTATGGAAATTACATTTCTTCTGGTTCCAGCCTCCTACAGTCCCGGTGATTTCCACTCCCCCGTTTGTTTTTGGCTGATACTGGCTCATTTTTAGCATCCCCCGTCCAGAGTCACCACAAGTCATAGGTATGCAGTACCTGTTGGTTGCCCTTTGTACACTACTTCTGGAGGGTGGAGATTATAAGGAGCAAGAAGACTATCAGTTCCCGTTCTTGGGGATCCCCAGTCTAGTATGGAAGAAGAGATTCTGTCTTCCCAGATGGATGTGGCTGCCAGAGTCATCAAGAATTGAGCAACAGAGCATTGACAGACAGTGCCTATAAAGAGTGTGAGGTGAGTGCTGGAGGAAATCTACATAGATACAAAAGCTTTAAGTTGGCTGGAAACCTGTTCTTCCATCATGGACACACTGGTCACTGCCCACTGCCAGCACAGTATACCTCACTGCATGCAAAACTCCCACATGACCTCTGAGCACTGGAATGGCGCGGTGAACTGAACGCCTGTGGCCCATATTCAGCAAGCTGACTTTCTTCTAAATGTCCAGCCATGCCTGGAAGCTGGGAAAACCTGTCTTACCTCTGTTGCAAGTTGTGCCCCTTCTGTGAGCCGCCCCCCCCCAGCCTCCTTACTGCCCCCTGAAGCTCCAGGGTCCCTCACCAGTGCCACAGTTCTTTCACTAAAGGCTACTGGAGCAATGCTGCCATGCTAGCGACAGCAGACTGAATGCACCAGTTAAACTGTCTTGATCCCAGTTAAGACTTAAAGATTGCAAGTAAATATCGTGCTTGTTAAGCCGCTCCGTATTTTGAGACATAGAGTGCCTGGTGTATTGTCTCAGAAAAGCTCAGGAAATACAGTGGATATTGAGGATCAGGCTGTTGTTGGTTGGAAGACAAGCTGTTCATTTTCTTCTGATAATGGGCTTGAAGTATGAAAGTCAGAGCCTGCCATGTAAAAGGTGGCTGATAGAGGACTCCCCAGTGGTAGGGAAAACTTGGAAATTGCTGGTCAAGATGCTTAGAAAGCTCTCCCAGCTACCATGAGCCCCTTGCTCAACAGTTCATTGTGACATGTGAACACACGTGGAGTTCCGTGCATCAAACCACCGCCTCCTGTTGAGCCCCTCTTAGGACCTGGGGAAATGCACTGAACCGAGGAAGAAGTCTTCAGTGGCCCTGAGAAGGGTGCAAGTCCATTTGCACGAGAGACTCCGAGGTCCTCAGAACCTAGAGTAGGTTCTCCAAGTGTAAGCCAAGAACCTGGATAGACCCTACTCCTTGTTTCTACCTCCCAGGCAAAGGAGGAGGGCCTCCCTGCCCACTTCAGACTGCCACCTGTAGAACAGGTCTCAGCTCAGAGAGGGCCCCAGATGAACTTGAGCAGTGGGTAGGGATCTCCGGTTTTCCTTCCTGCTGGACTGGGGCAGCAGAAGGTAGGTCCAAGAGGAGACGCACTGTTATTTGAGGTGCTGGAAAGCTGGCATGCTCTCTGTCTCTTAGGCCCAGTTTCCACAGAAAGTGGGGAGAGGAGGAAACCACAGCACGTGCTAGGTGGAGAGAAGGTATCAGAGCTCAGAAGACTCAGTAAGGCCTGGGAAAGCCACGCTAAGGGGCTGTGAGCGATGGCCTCCTGACAGTATACCTGTCCCAGTCCACTTCCAGGACACCCTAAAGCCCTGCAATGTGAAAGGTCAAATATTGCTCCTTTCTGCAGACACCTGGCACACCTGGGCCATGCAGTCTCCTCTCTAAACTTGATCCCCGCAGGTTGCTGTTTTACAAAGTCAGAATAAAGAAAAATAGGTTTTCATGGGTCATTCTGCTTACTGGAATGACTTCCTCAATGTTAAGTAATTACTAACTGTCGGGCGACGGTGGCGCACGCCTTTAATCCCAGCACTCGGGAGGCAGAGGCAGGCAGATCTCTGTGAGTTCGAGACCAGCCTGGTCTACAGAGCTAGTTCCAGGACAGGCTCCAAAGCCACAGAGAAACACTGTCTCGAAAAAAAAAATATTACGAATACAGCCCCAAAGAGGCTGACAAAAGACTTCCCAAACAGTGGCTTCTTCTGCTAAAGGTCGGACCTACTAGCAGAGTGACGTTTCCCTGGCCCTTGGTACGCACCCTTGACTCCGCCTCTGGGCGCTGGTCTTCCCTTCTCTCTTACCAGAGGTCCCACCCATCACTTAGCATGAGCTGTTATTTTTACACATATTCTTTGTGCATACCATCGAGAAAGAAACCCATGATTACTGTAATTCTCCCATCTCTGAGGTTCTCTTCTTTTTCAAACTTGTTAATCCTCAACTGTGACGCATTTGCCTTCCTAGATTATCAGCCTGCTTCATTTCCCCTGTATCATTTTCCTAACCACTGCTGTGCTCTTCATTTTCGTTTATCTTTCTTGATGCCTAACTCTTGGTTTCTGTTGTGGCATTAGCACACTGAGGTAGTTGATCTACAAGCTTTGGAAATTGTTGCTTCTGGAAATTGTTGCTTCTGGAATTAACATAGATAAAGACTTGAGTTTTGTAAACTCAAGGAAAACAAAGCAAAACAAAAACTCCCAAAGGCTGGGAAACCAAAGCCTCTTCCAAGACGCGCTTAGTCAACCCTCTTCA